AGGATGCCAGGGGGAAGGTAGGAAGGGGACACCCTTGCTCTTAGTGTCTCTGAGACACCCAACATATACAGTCAATTGACAATCCTCAGTTAACTTTGTGTCAAAGTCTAGTGCAGTGCAGTGCAGTACAGTGCAGTGTAGTGCAGTGCAGTACAATGCAGTACAGTACAGTACAGTACAGTGCAGTGCAGTACAGTACAGTGCAGTATGTGCAGTGCAGTACAGTGCGGTGCCGTACAGTGCATAGCCGTACAGTGCAGTGCCGTACAATGCAGTACAGTGCAGTGCCGTGCAGTGTCGTGCAGTGCAGTACAGTGTAATGCAGTGCAGTACAGCGCATTGCAGTGCAATGCAGTGTAGGACAGAGCAGTGCTGAGGAGTACATTGCATTACAGTGCAGTGCAGTGGAGTACAGTGCAGTGCCGTGCAGTGCAGTACAGCGCAGTGCAGTACAGTGCAGTGTAGTGCAGAGCAGAGCAGTGCAGAGCAGTGCAGTGCAGAGCAGCGCAGTGCCGTACAGTACAGTGCAGTACCGTTCAGTACAGTGCAGTACAGTACAGTGCAGTGCAAAGCAGTACAGTGCAGTGCAGTATACTGCAGTGCCGTACAGTGCCGTACAGTGCAATGCAGTGCAGTACAGCAAAGTGCAGTGCAGTGCAGTACAGTGCAGTGGATTTCAGTACAGTGCGGTGCAGTACAGTGCAGTACAGCACAGTTCGGTGTAGTACAGCGCAGTGCAGTGCAGTACAGTGCGGTGCAGTACAGTGCAGTGCAATTCACTACAGTACAGTGCAGTACAGTACAGTGTTGTGTAGTACATTATAGTAGAGTGTAATGCAGTGTTGTGCAAAGCAGTATAGTACAATACAGTATGAATTATTCGTCATATCTGAAGCTCAGTAAATCCAGCGGCTTTCGTAATTTCTTTGTTGATGCCATTGTCGCTCAAAAACATGCAGCCGTGAGATAACTTAGCCCACAGATGCTAAACTGCTGTATTAGTAGACAGCAATTGCAATAGACTGATTTTATGATATTTAATTATAAAAACCGGGGCAAAGGTGAAGGGGTTTAATACAAACAATCGTTTGAGAGGAATCTTGCGTTATTGTACATGAATAGGGAAAGGATGAAGGTTTAATCCCCCATATAGGCCTTATTTCCAATGTGTTCCCTTTTTTGAAAGGGTTAATAACTACTTTACTTATTAAATGAGAATGAGGTATTTACTAGAAAATCTTGCCGAGACCTTGCCGTATTGACCAAGCGATGGCGCGGTCAGTACGGGAAGGCCGAGGTTTGAGATTTTCCCGTAAAGATCGAACGTTCGACGTTAATAAGCTGTTTATTATATGGCTTTTGCTTTGGTTTTGCGGGCCAGTAATCGGCCCGTGGGTATTTAGGGAGAATAAGGCCCTACAATTGGGCAATAAGAGCGCGCGTTATATCGGCTGCAAACACAAGCCATATAATAATGATGATGACGATAACGCTAACCGGGCGTGTGTCTACTGATTTTAGAAGTCAATAATGATACATATGAACTTGTGCATTAGTATTTTGGGATCTCATGATATTTTTATTTTCATCAAAATTTTAGTCTACGG